TTCACCTCTCGTCTCCATCCAATCTTGTCAACACTCCTAATACATTTAATGTTCCTGTTGTTTGTGACCCTCTAATTGTGTCTTCTTCACCATTAGTTTCCGCTCCGCAGCTAGCTTCTTCTCCACTCGCCTCTTCGATTTATAGTTCTCGAAACCAATCACAACCACCACCATGTGACTCTACTCAAGTGCCAACTACTCTGTCTCCTCCGGATCCGACACATGAGTCCGACCTTCCCATTGCCCTCCGAAAAGGTATTCGTTCTACACGTAATCCCTCTCCCCATTATATTACTTTGAGTTATCATCGACTGTCATTACCTTTTTATACATGTCTTTCCTCTATTTCTTCCGTGACCATTCCAAAAACCGTTCGTGAAGCTTTAGCCCATCCTGGTTGGCGTCAGGCCATGTTAGATGAACTAAGTGCTCTTCATAATAGTGGAACTTGGGAATTGGTCCCGTTACCGTCTGGGAAATCTGTTGTTGGTTGCAGGTGGGTGTTTGCTATCAAAGTTGGACTCGATAGTACTATTGATCGCCTCAAAGCTCGCTTTGGTGGCCAAAGGTTATACTCAAATTTTTGGGTTGGATTATGGAGATACCTTTTCCCCGTGGCAAAGATGGCTTCGTTCGTTTATTTATCGCCATGGTCGCTTCTTCAACAATGGCCTCTTTATCAACTCGGATGTTAAAAATGCTTTCCTCAATGGTGATTTGCAAGAAGAAATATATATGGAGCAACCTCCTGGGTTTGTTGCTCGGGGGAGTCTTCTCGGGATGGTATGTCGTCTTCGCAAATCCCTATATGGCCTAAAACAGTCTCCTAGGGCTTGGTTTGGAAAGTTTAGCAAGATTGTTCAACAATTTGGTATGACTCGGTGTGAATCGGATCATTCTGTCTTTTATCGACACTCGAGTGCTTGGATGTGTTTACTTGATAGTATATGTTGATGATATTGTTCTTACAGGTAGTGACAACCATGGCATCTCTTAGTTGAAACAACATCTTTGTCACCATTTTCGGACCAAAGATCTTGGCAAACTTAGATATTTCTTGGGTATTGAGGTAGCACAGTCCAATGATGGTATTGTTATATCTCGGAGGAAGTATGCCATAGATATTTTGGAAGAAACTCGGGTTGATGAGTTCAAAGTCTGTTGATACACCCATGGATCCCAATACTAAACTTCTACCAAATCGGGGGAGCCTATATCCGATCCTGAGCAAGTATAGAAGATTGGTTGGAAAATTGAATTATCTTACAGTTACTCGTCCCGACATTTCCTTTGCAGTCAAGTGTGGTAAGTCAATTTCTTAATTCACCATGTGAAGATCATTGGAATGCAGTCATTCGTATCTTGAAGTATATTAAAGGATCTCCTGGAAAAGGATTGTTATATGCTTCTAATAACCATACAAGAGTTGTTTGCTACTCGGATGCCGATTGGGCAGGATCTCCTTCGGATAGAAGATCTACATCTCGGATATTGTATCTCCATTGGTGGTAACTTGATTTCATGGAAAAGTAAGAAACAAAGTGTTGTGGCAAGATCCAGGCGTGAAGCGAATATAGAGCTATGGCCTCAGCTTCCTGTGAACTTGTTTGGCTCAAGCAATTGCTTAGAGAGTTACAATTTGGAGATGTCACTCAAATGACACTTGTGTGTGACAATCAGCCGCTTCTTCATATTAGTTCTAATCCTGTCTTTCATGAGAGGACCAAACACATTGAGATTGACTGTCATTTTATTCGAGAAAAGATTATGTCTCGGAGATATCAAGACTCGAGTTTGTTAACTCAAGTGATCAGTTAGCAGATATTTTTACTAAATCTTTACTGGGTCCTAGAATTGATTATATTTGTAACAAGCTTGGCACATACGATTTGTATGCTCCAGCTTGAGGGGGAGTGTTAGATATTGTTTATATATTATTTGATATTGTTAAGATATTGTTAGATATTGGTAACCACAATATCAAACAATATCTTCTGTTTATTCTGTTACTTTCAGTTACTCTTTTAGTTGTATTTCTCTACTATAAATAGACCACCCTATGTGTGATTTATACACAAGGGAAATTAATTCCAAACTATATTTTCTTTATATTCAACACTCTATAGCCTTGACGCATTCTTTCGGTTATGATTTGCATATCTCTTTTATATGTCTCAATTGTTGAGTTTTTCGATCTCATACCTTTACTCCATCCTCGATAGCCTTGATACCTTCTTTTGATTATGATTTGCATATATTTTTTATATGTCTCTATTGTTGGGTTTTTTGAGGGGGTTTACTGGGGAAAGATAATACCAATGGGACATGAACCTAAACCAAGAGATTAATATCACCTTCAACCCAAAACCTTAATGCATTGAGTTATGGGTCTAACTTACTCAATGTGGGATTTAGACTAACACTTAGATTATCCAACATCAATTGACCACATTTGTGACATTTTATATCAAACTTCCACCAACACATATTGTATGAGTGGTTATTTTTCTTGCAATAAGAACAAACAGAGAAGACACATGATTTGTTACCTTTGTTGTTCTTGGTTTGGAGAGAACATTCACCATAATATAATAAAGAACCTTCAACATTAGCATGATCTCCTCTCATCAATCTTTTTTGTTATTTTACTTGTAAAACATGTAGCACTTTTACTAAAGTAATATTAGACAAATCTTTTGTGTGTTTCCAATTAAGTAGATGTTTCACACCTCTCTGACACAGTTATTAGAATTTTCTCAACTATTATGGAATTAGGAAATTTAGTTTTATCTTGTTAGCAATACCCAACAATTTGCTTGAGTATTTATTAATTGTCTCATACTCTTGAATTCTTTGTATCTCAAATTCACTTACCAAGTTTAAAACTTTCATACCTCTAATTTTCTCATTCCCTTCACATTGGTCTTTCAAATAATATCAAATTTTTGTTATGATTATAGCGTCATGATTCTTATGAAAATCATTTGTGAAACATCATTAAAAAAAACATGATTTAATTTTTGTATTCCTCGTTTTTTTTTCTCTAAAATTTGATTTGAGTAATGGTGGAATTTTTAGGCAGCGGATCAATGATGTAATAATCTTTCACATCTCATGAATTCAATCATTCAATATAAGATTGCATTCTCATATTCCATATATCATAACTTTCATCATAAAAAATTGGAATAACGACTTATGAAAAACTTTTTTCTCCTTCCATTTTTTTTTTTGTGAGAATCAAAACTCTTGATTTCACTAATGGAAATTTTAGGGTTTTGTGTATTTATGATATATAAAACATATCTTATGTGAGTATATATTTTATTTATGTACTTACTCTGTATATAGAGTAAAAATATAATAAAATATCATATATTAACAATATTTCAATCATAATTACCTAAATCAAAATAAACCTAATATATTTTTCTATTATTCTAAAGAATAAAAAAATAATTTAATATCTAATTTAAATAAAAGATAATAAAATAATATTTTAATAATAAAAAAATAATTTAATATCTAATTTAAATAAAAGATAATAAAATAATATTTTCAAATATTAAGATAAAAAAAAGTAATATTTGCATTATGCTTCTACATGAGATTAAATTCCCGATGAGAAGAACACATTAAGATAGATATGCTATCTGATGGTGATCCTACATGTTAGCATTAGAGTAACAAATAATCTTGGTGTTGCCTTTATCTTCGTACAGGAGACCACAACCTGGTGCATTTTTGTTATATTTGAGAATGTACATGACAGTACCACTATCACAAGGGACATCGAAGAATTATAACTTCACCAATGACTCCAAATGTGATATCTAAGGAGGTGATGGTGAGATATAAGTCTAATGATATCTTCTCTGTCTTTAGTGGCTTAATTTCGGGTCCATAGGAGTGTCATTGGGATGTCAATCTAACATACCAGTCTCAGTGAGAATATGTAGAGCATAATTATGTAGGAAAATGGCAATGCCAGTGGTAGATTAAGCAACCTCAGCGTCTAAATATTTCAGTGTACCCAAATCTATACATTGAGAGTCATCACTAGTAGTGATGACAATGTCGTACACCACCCAATAAATGTCTTGGCTAGATGGCGAGTGAAAGGAAAAAACAAAGCCATCAACCTGACAACAAACCCTACCAAATTAGAGTAAAACAAAGCTAGAATGACCAAACAATACACCGGGAGACTACTCTTGGGTGTTTGAGGGAGAATTTATTAGGGAGAGATAATATTAATCAAATATGAGTCTAAAAATAAGGAATTAATATTACTTTTAATCTAACTCTTAAATTATATAAAGAGCATCAAGGAAGTCAACATGCAAGGTGAGAGCCATAAAAACAGTAAACTAGAGGCCACTTATGCTAACCTTTTCATGCAGCTCATGCTAGAAAAAGGCATTCTTAATATCTTCTTATGAAGAGGCCATTGGCTGGCAATATTTTGTAATCCCCTCACCCATACATATAGAATATTAATAATAAAGTAAAAATAATTGATTTTAAATAAAAACTCAAGCGTTTAAAATTAATTAAAAAAACTAAATTATAAATACCTAAAAATGTATTTTTTTAAGTTAAATTAATTTGATATCAATTGACATTCAAATGTGTCCATTTTTCTTTTATATGCTGACAAATTAGGTTTACTAATAATAACAAGCCTAACAAAATACTTTTTTTTTTTTTTAATTTAGGAAGCTGAATAAAAAAATTCTCAACTAGTTCAGGGAGGCTACTGATGAATTAAATCTATTTTTTTATTATTATGCTATCAAAATCATGTATAGTTTACCAGAAATATGAAGTGCATGCTTTACAATTCGTTAAGATATGCTGTTTTGTTGAATGTTTTACCACTTGAGCAGTTATGTCTTCCGATTGTTTTATTTATTTTTTATGTAAATTTATGTTTGTAAGATTCAGGAAGAAGTTGTAGTCATAGCAGAAAACAAGTCAAGAGGAAGTAATAAGGAAGCATGGACCCAAACACAGTTGTGTCAACAGCCACCGGAAGTGTATTGAAATTTGGGGGAGATCTGGTTACCCGTCATATGGGTTACTTTTATAATTACAAAGACAAATTTGAAGCGGTGAACCGTTGTATTGAGATGCTAGATGATACTAGAAAGAGGGTGCAGAATGAAGTTATGGCTGCAGAAATGAATGCAGAAGAAATTGAAGAAGATGTTCAACATTGGTTGAAATATGTGGATGAGAAGATCAAAGAATATGAAAATTTTCTGTGTGATAAATGCCATGAGAAGACAAGACGCTCTATTCGTTTCTTTCCTAATAACATGCAGTTGAGGTATAGGCTAGGAAGAAGAGCTACGAAGATTCTGGAAGAAATCAAAGCAGATGAACTTTTGAATAAAAAGTTTGATAAAGTCTCATATCATATAGGTCCATCCATGGATGCTGCTTTGTCAAACACTGGTTATGAAAGTTTTGCATCGAGAAAGAAAATTATGGGGATGATAATGCAAGCACTTGAAGACTCTACAGTTAGTATGATTGGAGTCTACGGGGTTGGAGGTGTTGGAAAGACAACTTTAGTTAAAGAAGTTGCCAAGGAAGCTAAAGAAAAGAAGCTGTTCAATACGGTGGTTATGGCAAATATATCAAGAAATCCTGACATAGAGAAAGTTCAAGGACAAATTGCCGAAACGTTAGGAATGAGATTGGAAGAGGAAAGTGAGATTGTGAGAGCAGATCGCATTCGAAAAAGGTTAAAGAAAGAAAAGGAGAATACCCTTATAATCCTAGATGATCTCTGGAGTGGATTGGACTTGAATAGACTGGGGATTCCACAAAATGAAGATAATGGTGTAAGCCAAAAAGTTGTCAAGGATGCAGCTGATTTTGGCTATAGTAAGGTGGAAACAGAAAAGTTATCATTTGATTCCAATAAGACGAAGAAAGACAAGTTATCTAGTGATTACAATAAGATTAAAAACAAACTGTTATCTGTTGATCGCAAAGGGTGCAAAATTGTCTTAACATCTAGAAATAAAGAAGTATTATGTAATCAAATGGATGTGCAGGAGAGATCTACTTTCTCATTAGGAGTCCTTGACCAAAAGGAGGCAGAGGCTTTACTTAAGAAAATTTCTGAAATAAATGTTACCAATTCTGCTTTTGATGAGAAAGTCACTGAAATATCCAAAATGTGTGCTGGGTTGCCCATAGCATTGATTTCCATTGGGAAAACACTGAAGAATAAGAGCCCCTTTGTGTGGGAGGATGTTTGTCGACAAATTGAAAGACAAAATTTTACAGGAGGTCAGGAATCTATTGAATTCTCTGCAAAGTTAAGTTATGATCATCTAAAAAATGAGCTTAAGCACATTTTCTTACAATGTGCTAGAATGGGAAGTGATTTTTCGACTATGGACTTGGTCAAGTTCTGTATTGGTTTGGAAATGCTTCAGGGTGTTTACACAATAAGAGAAACAAAATCTAGAGTAAACGTGTTGTTAGAAGAGCTAATTGAGTCAAGTTTGCTGGTGAAAAGTTATTCTAATGACTGTTTTAACATGCATGACATTGTGCGTGATGTTGCTCTTTCAATTTCATATACAGAGAAAAGTGTATTTTTTATGAAAAATGGCAAACTAAATGAGTGGCCTCACAAGGATAAACTCGAAAGGTACACAGCTATTGTTTTACATTATTGTGATATTGTGGAGCTTCCTGAGAGTATATACTGTCCTAGACTTGAAATCTTCCATATTGACAGTAAAGATTATTTTCTGAAAATACCAGATGACTTTTTTGAAGATATGGTTGAACTCAAAGTATTGGTATTGACTGGTGTTAATTTGTCACCCTTACCTTCTTCAATTAAACGCCTAACAAACCTAAAAATGCTTTGTTTGGAGAGATGCACTCTAAGAAATAACTTATCAATCATGGGAGAGTTAAAGAAATTAAGAATTCTCAGTCTTTCAGGATCTAATATTGAAAATTTGCCTGTTGGAATGGGGCAATTGGATAAACTGCAACTTTTGGACTTAAGCTATTGCTCAAAACTAAGAGTAATACCTTCCAATATCATATCAAGGCTGAGCAGTTTGGAAGAGTTTTATATGAGAGATGACTTGATTCTGAGGGAAACTAAAGAGGAAATCCTAAGTAAAAATGTTTGTCTTTGTGAGTTGAGGCACTTGAATCAATTACGAAGTCTAGATATACACATTCCAAGTGTTGCCCATTTTCCACAAAACTTGTTCTTTGACAAGTTGGATAGTTACAAGATTGTCATTGGAGAAATTAACATGCTTTCAGTGGGAGAATTCAAAATCCCTGACAAGTATGAAGCAGTGAAATTTTTGGCATTGAACCTGAAAGATGGTATTAACATTCATTCTGAAAAAAGGATTAAAATATTGTTCAAAAAAGTTGAATATTTGCTTCTGGGAGAACTCAATGATGTTCAGGATGTTTTCTATGAATTAAATGTTGAAGGATTTCAAATTTTGAAACATTTGTTTATTGTAAACAATTTTTGCCTTCAGTACATTATCAACTCAGTGAATCGATTTGACCCTTTACTTGCTTTTCCCAAATTGGAGTCCATGTGTCTTTACAAATTGGAGAATTTGGAGAAAATATGTGACAATCAACTCACAGAGGCCTCCTTCAGCAGATTAAAGATCATCAAGATTAAAACATGTGATCAATTGGAATATATTTTCTCATTTTTCATGTTCAGTCGACTCACCATGCTTGAAACAATTGAAGTGTGTGATTGTGATTCTTTAAAGGAGATTGTTCATGTTGAAAGAGAATCTGATAGTGTCAGTGATGTGCAAACTGAAGAGATTGAGTTTCCTCAATTAAGATTTTTAACCTTGCAATCTTTACCCGCATTTTTTTGTTTTTATACCAACGATAAAATGCCTTCCATCTCTCAATCATCCCAAGAACAAGTGCAAAACAAGGAGCTCAAAGAAATTACGGCAATACCTGGTCGAGATACAAATGCTTGCCTTTCACTCTTCAATGGAAAGGTACTTGAAATAAATATTATGATAAATCTTTATCCTTTACTTCATATTACTATCTTTTATGTTTAATTTGATATGTTATTTCTCTAAAAGAAGTAAGAATTCATGGTCTTTGTGTCTTGCCCTTTTGTTTGGGTGAGTCAACTTTTGTAAATCAAAATTAGTTATCCTCAAGACAATAATTACGTGCTCTTACAGGTTGCACTTCCCAAATTAGAGTGGTTGGAGTTGTCTTCAATCAACATCCCACAGATATGGAATGATAAATCTTTGCATTCTTTTGAAAGTTTGCTTACATTGAATGTATCAGATTGTGGCAATTTAAAATATTTATTCTCAGTCTCCATGTCTGGAAGTTTAGTGAATCTCCAAAGCCTTTTTGTAAGTGGATGTGAATTGATGGAGGACATATTTAGTGCAGAAGATGCAATGGTATGTAGATTCATTTAATTTAATTAAAGTTAATTGTCAGTGTCATTCCTTGTTTAAAGGCACTAATTTCTAAGGTCTTTTATTTGATCATTCAATGGCTACTTCCTCTTGCAACAGAATATTGACATTTTTCCCAAGTTGAAGAAAATGGAGATCAACTGCATGGAAAAATTGAATACCCTGTGGCAGCCTTATATTGGTTTTCATTCCTTCCACAGTTTGGATTCTTTGATAATAAGGGAATGCAACAAACTTGTGACAATATTTCCTAGCTACACGGGCGAAGGATTTCAGAGCCTTCAAAGTTTGGTGATTACTGATTGTATGTCAGTGGAAACCATATTTGATTTTGGAAATATTTCACAAACTTGTAGCATTGGTGCGACAAACTTGCATGATGTCTTTTTAGAAGAGCTGCCAAAGTTGGTGCATATATGGAAGGTGGAGACTGATGGAATTCTTAATTTTAATAATCTGCAAAGCGTTGTTGTTTACGAGAGTAAAATGATAAAGTATGCCTTTCCACTCTCGGTTGCCAAAGGTCTAGAAAAACTGGAAACACTTGATGTATGTAATTGCGAGGGAATGAAGGAGGTTGTTGCTTGTGACTATCAATCAAATGAACAAATTGTCACCTTTAGGTTCCCCCAGCTAAACACTCTATCATTACAACATTTATTTGAACTCAGGAGTTTCTATCCGGGAGTACACAATTTAGAATGGCCATCGTTGAAAAAATTATTCATACTCTTTTGTAGCAAGTTGGAGGAAACCACAAATTTGCAACTTAAGTCAATCTTTTTAGCCACAGAAAAGGTACAAGTTAAAAAACATGATTTAAATAAAGCCATGAAACTTAAATGAAACTCTTGCTGAAGGATGTTGCAAGTTATCTTTTTCTTATTCTTGAATTATATATCTTTTAGCATGCATGATTTTTGGTTCTGAATATGCTTCTGAAATTGCCTTTTTTTAGGTGATACACAACTTGGAATATATGTCAATTAGCTTGAAGGAAGCAGAGTGGTTACGAGACTATAATTTTAGTCATAGAATGCACAAACTACAGTCACTTGTTTTGTCTGGATTGAAGAATACTGATATTCTCTTTTGGTTGCTCCATAGACTGCCTAATTTGGAAAGCATTACATTGAAAAATTGTCTCTTTGAAGGGGTTTGGGGTTCTACAGGCCTTGCTGCACATAAAACTGGGGTTGTAGTACAACTTACGGAGTTGATAATTAACAACCTGAGTTATTTACAGAATATAGGCTTTGAACATGACCTGCTTCTTCAAAGGGTAGAGCGCTTAGTCATTTCTGGATGTGTAAAACTGAAAAGTTTATTGCCTTCCTCAGTTTCTTTCAGTTACTTGACATATTTGGAAGTAACTGAATGTTCAGGATTGAGAATCTTAATGACATCCTCAACTGCCATGACCTTGGTTCAACTCACTATCATGAAGGTAAAACTCTGTCAAGGGATTGAGAAAATTGTTGCAGAAGAGGAAAAAACACAAGTGATTGAGTTTAGACAACTGAAAGCTATAGAATTGGTGTCTCTACAAAGCCTCACTTGTTTCTGCAGTTCTAAGAAGTGTGACTTAAAGTTCCCCTCGCTTGAAAATTTAGTAGTGAGTGATTGCCCTCTAATGGAAACATTCTCTAAAGTCCAAAGTGCACCCAATCTAAGAAAAATGCATGTTGCAGCTGGTGAAAAGGACAGATGGTATTGGGAAGGTGATTTGAATACCACTCTGCGAAAACTTTCCACTGATAAGGTATGCATATATTAGATTATTTATAAACTATGACAAATCATTATCGTCCCTACACAGAAATTACTTTTCTTTTCAATGAAAATTTCCAGTAGATGTTATGCTACTGGATAATTATGGCATAAGAAGCTAGTTATTCTGTGAAAATAAATTAAACCAAATACATGATCTCATGTCTCCTACTAGAAGCTGTTGGGGGATATACAATATTGTAAAAATGGATATGCACTCGTTGCATCATATGAGGTATTAAGGGCTAGAGAGAGAATAAACTTATATTGATAATATTAACATAAAATATAAAAGTGATGGAGTCACTGAGTAACAATCCCTTCATATACAGTCAGGACTGAAAGTTAGTTATAACTGTATGCTAGTGACAGTTATAACTAAGGCAAAATACAAGAAGGTATAACTGTAAAGTACGTAAAACAAAGCTGTAAAATTATATAGAGATACTCAAAAGAGTTTCTCTTACAGCCCCTCGGAAGGTCAAGGTGGATGGTGAACAATAGGTGGAGAAAACAGCATTGTGCTTGTTCCTCAGTAGAAGGGAGAGAGGCATGGCCTAAAGATCTGCCCCTGGTCTAGGCCAGGAATATGCTGCACAACAAGATGCTTAGCCAGAACTTTTTTCTTGGATAAATAATAGGTTGAGTTCCACATGTTTGAGTGTTTGAAATTGACAGTTTAACTAAGCCAAAATACAAGAAGGTAATGAATGATATAGTAAAGCTGTTAATGGTAGAGATACTCGAGAAGATTACTCTCTTACAGAGCACATGAGGGGTGGTGAGCTTTATAGGATCCACCGAGGTAGAAATCCAAGAAGAAAATGCTAAAATTGTTTCCGTGGTTAATACTAAAATTTCTATTAAAGTGGTTTTTGGTTTATCTACTAAGTTGAGTACATTGGGGTGTACTGTCACTACCTTGTTGAAGATTTGTGTTAGTGAATTTATTTGTTCCTGCTTATGCCATGTTAAATGTTGAGGAAACAAAGAGGTTTATAGTTTGATGAGGGTTCTTGTGAGATCCAAAGAGGAAGCAGTTCTGGTGAATCCATTCATTATATTACCTCTGGAAATAAGTTGGTTAGGCACAAAGGATGATTTCTTTGAAACTTTCCAGGTGGTATTATTGGTATTCTTTGATTTGGAAAGTTTACATTAAAAATGTCATAAAATTATATTTTACATGATGATCTAGATGTATTGAAGATAAATATTATCACATGACATCTCTGTTAATCAGTAATTAAACCTTTAACTGGAGGATTTAATAGTTAAATTTTTGAAATTGACCAAATACTCTTATTTTTTGCGTCACAATTTTAGCCCAATTTATGATAAAAAAAATGGAAGAAAGGAAAACTTTCATTCTCTTCTAGGATGGAAGTTCAAAAATCTAAGGTGGTTCAGAACTCTATTTATAGCATAATTCATATTTCTTCATTTTTGTAGGTTTCATTCAAACATTCAAAGCATTTGAGACTTAAAGAGGATTCTGAGCTGAAGGTAATTTGGCAGGGCAAAGCTGCTTTTCAAGAAAACTACTTTGGCAGTTTAAAAACATTGGTGGTGACGGGCATTACAAAAGATCATGTGATTCCATCACAAGTACTAACTTGCTTAAAAAATTTGGAAGAATTGAAGGTAGAAAGCTGCAGGGCAGTGGAAGTAATATTCAATGTAAATGACATTGACATGAAGAAAAAGGGAATAGTGTCTCGACTGAAAATGCTTACTTTAAATAAGTTGCCAAATTTAAATCGTGTTTGGAACAAAAATCCTCGAGGAATTGTTAGCTTTCCCAATATGCAAGAAGTATCTGTTTTTGATTGTGGACAGTTGGCAACACTGTTCCCTTCATCCCTTGCCATAAGTCTCGTTAAGCTTCAGATACTTGAAATACAGTGGTGTGAAAAGTTGGTAGAAATTGTTGAAAAGGAAGATGCAGCGGAACTTGGAACAGCTGAAATTTTTAAATTCCCTTGCTTGACCTCGTTGCTTCTTTTTCATCTGCCACTGCTTAGTTGCTTTTATCCTGGAAAACACCATCTGCTATGCCCCATGTTAGAATGCTTAGACGTGTCCTATTGTCCTAACTTGAAGTTATTCACATCAAAATTTCATGATAGTCACAAAGAAGCAGTTACAGAGAGTCAAGTTAGTGCTCCAATTGCAACTAGCCGGCGTCAGCAACCTCTGTTTTCTGTTGAAGAGGTGACAAAGCATTGACTTTGAATTTTAATTTTTTTTTTTCCCTTCTTTTCATTATTTTCCTCTTAGCTTCTTACCGCCTCCATTTTCTTTTGATTTATTTGGCTTGCTAGGTTGTTCCCAAACTGAAGGAATTGACATTCAATGAGGAAAACATTATCTTGTTGAGCCATGCACATTTTCCACAAGACCTCTTTAGCAAATTAAATCATCTTCGGCTATGCTTTGAGGATGATGACAATAAGAAAGATACTTTTCCTTTTCATTTCCGTCACAAGGTACCCAATTTAGAACATCTTGAACTGTACTGTTGCTTTGGTCTAATGGAGATATTTCCGTCTCAAAAACTCCATGTTCATGAAAGAGTACTTGTCACATTGAGAAAATTAACCCTATATAAGCTTCCAGAGCTGGATACAATAGGGTTAGAGCACCCATGGGTAAAGCCATACTCTGAAAAGCTTGAATTGTTAAAGCTAGAGAACTGCCCCCGGTTAGAAAAATTAGTGGGCGATGTGGTATCTTTCATCAATCTGAAAAAGTTGGCTGTTAACTTGTGTAAAGAGATGAAGTATTTATTCACAGTTTCAACTGCCAAAACTTTGGTGCAACTTGAGATCCTGTCAATACTAAATTGTAAATCAATAAAAGAAATAGTAAAAAAAGAAGATGAAGATACCTCTGAGGAGATTATATTTGGACGGCTCAAAACATTAACGCTGAATTCCTTATCAAGGCTAGTACGCTTTTATTCAGGGAATGCCATTTTGCAATTGTCATGTTTGAGAACAGCAAAAATAGTTAAATGTCCCAAAATGATAACTTTCTCTGAAGGAGGCATAAAAGCTCCAATGTTTTCTGGGATTAAAACCTCTTCGAAGGATGTTGATGTTCACTTCCATAATGATCTCAACTCGACAGTCCAGTGGTGTTTTCGCGAACAGGTCAGTAAATTTCATCCCTTTAAATGGGTGGTTCAATTATGCAGTGTTCTTACCTTGAATATGTAATGCATTTAATAAAATGTAAATAAACAAAATAAATTTCTGTATGTAATTGGAGAACGTCACCTACATACATTATCGATGGTGTTGGTGTGCTCTGGTGGCTGGTGGTGTTAGTGCTGGTATTAAAAAAAAAAAGAATATTTGGAATGTTTTTATAATGTCAAATATACTAATTTATTTGTGATATAGATTTATTGAAGATTAATGTTGTCACATGACATCTTCCTCGACAGCAACTAAACCTTCATTTGAAGGATTTAATGAAATAATAGTTATAGTCTATGGATTAATTAGAAAAGTTTTAAAATTAATGGTGTAAATTTATAAAGGAATAATGGTTCTTTGTCACATTCTGAATTTTTACACTGCCCTTGTACCCTTTTTATGGTAAGAAAAGTAAGTTAAAAAGTTAAGGTGGTTCAGTAGACTTTTTGATAAACTAATATTATCTTTTTCAAGTTCTTTACTTTTCACCTTTCTTTCATTTTCACACAGGATTCTCTTAAACATTCAAAGCATTTAACAATTGCCAAAGATTCTAAGCTGACAAAAATTTGGCACAGCAAAGATGCGTTTCAAGATAATCATTTTCGCAGTTTAACAAAATTGGTGGTGAAGAGAGTGGAAGAGGATCATGTGCTTCCATCTCAAATACTTCATTGCTTAAAGAACTTGAAAAAATTGAAGGTAGAAAGCTGCAGGGAAGTGGAGGTAATATTTGATATAAATGGCATTGACAGGAAGAAAAAGGGAATAGTGTCTGGACTGAAAAAACTTACATTAAAAAACTTGCCGAGTTTGAAGTGTGTTTGGAACAAAACTCCTCAAGGAATTGTCAGCTTTCCCAATTTGCAAGAAGTGTCTGTTTCTAGATGCAGTGAGCTGGCAACACTTTTCCCTTCATCCCTTGCAAGAAATCTTGTAAAGCTTGAGGAACTTGATATACAGAACTGCGATAAGTTGGTAGATATTGTGGGAAATGATGATGGGATAGAACTTGACACAACTAAAATGTTTAAATTCCCCTGTTTGACCTCGTTGCTTCTTTTCAGGCTGCCACTGCTTACTTGCTTTTATCCTCGAAAACACCGTCTGCTATGCCCCATATTAGAAAGCTTAGACGTGTCCTTTTGTCCTAATTTGAAGTTATTCACGTCAGAATTTCATGATAGTTACGAAGCATTGGGTGTAGAGATTCAAGTTCGTTCTACAATTAAAAATATACCTCTTCAGCAACCTATGTTCTCGGTTGAAAAGGTGACAAAGCTTTATCCCTTTTCGAATTCCAACTATTTTCCTTTCATTTTCTTTTCATTTCCTCCTTCTAACTGCCACCGTTCTCTTTTGAATTTGTGTGGTATTGCTAGGTTATTCCCAAACTGAAGGAATTGACTGTCAATGAGAAAAACATTATCTTGTTGAATGCCCTTTTGCCACAAGACCTCCTTTGCAAATTAAATCATCTTCAGCTATGCTTAGAGGGTGATTTCAATGGGATACCTACTTTTCTTTTTTATTTCTTTCTCAAGCTACCCAGTTTAGAACATCTTCAACTGTCCTATTGCGATCGTCTGAGGAAGTTATTTCCCGATACAAAACACCAAATTCATGATAGAATACTTTCCAGATTGAAAAAATTAACCCTAGATAACCTTGAAAAGCTGAATTCTATAGGGTTAAAGCACCCACGAGTAAAGCCATACTCTGAAAGGCTTGAATCATTTGTTCTTAAGGAATGTCCGCGGGTAAAAACAATAGTGTCTGGTACAGTATCTTTCATGAATATGAAAGAGTTGTTTGTGACAGACTGTAAGAAGATGCAGTATTTATTCAAATTTTCAACTGCTAAAAGTTTGGTGCAACTTGTGATCCTATCTATACAAAATTGTGAATCAATAAAGGAAATAGTAAAAGAAGAGAATGAAAATGGTTCAGATGAGATCATATTTGCACGCGTCAAAACATTAGAGCTGGTTTCCTTACCATTGCTTGGAAGCTTTTATTCAGGGTATGCTACTTTGCAATTTTCACGTTTAAAGAAAGTGAAGGTAGCTGAATGCCGCAAAATGGAAACTTTCTCTCAAGGAGACATAAAGGCACCATTTTTCTATGGGATTCAAACTTCAGTTGATGATTTTGATTTAACCTTCCACGAGGATCTCAACACCACAATCAAGAAGTTGTTTGACCAAATGGTAGGGAGTTTAGTTGGATAATTGAATTGTTATCTGCGACAAAACAGAATTGTTAAACTTGCATTAACGGTTCCATAATTCGTTTGCAGGTTGAGGGGGATTCCACCACGAAATCAATGGATGGAGGAATTAGTCATGGCCATAGTTCCACATCAATGGATGGAGAAAACAGAGATGATGATACTTCCACCACAATCGATGGTGGAGATAGTGATGGTGATACTTCCACGTCGACGGATGGTGGAAGCAGTGATGGTGATGGTGATACTTCCACGTCGACGGATGGTGGAAGCCGTGATGGTGATACTTCCACGGCGACGGGTGGTGGAAGCCGTGATGGTGATACTTCCACGTCGACGGGTGGTGGAAGCCGTGATGGTGATACTTCCACGTCGACGGATGGTGGAAGCAGTGATGGTGATACTTCCACGTCGACGGGTGGTGGAAGCCGTGATGGTGATACTTCCACGTCGACGGGTGGTGGAAGCCGTGATGGTGATACTTCCACGTCGACGGATGATGGAAGCAGTGATGGTGATACTTCCACGTCAATGGACGGAGGAAACAGTGATGATGAAAATTTGACATCAACGGATGGAGGAAGCAGTTAGGCTTTGGATGGAGTGATTTGATAGAGTGGAAATGAGAGAGTGGAAAAGGAGGGATTTGAAGAGAAATGGAGATAAATGTAAAGTGAAAGGAAAGTTTATGGGAAATTGTGAATGATTTGATTGATATGAGATATAAAAATTATAATTTTATGTTGATTATTTAAGAAAATTATCATTTTACCCTTTGTATAAAATAAGGTTCAATTCAAATGATTATAAATATAAAATTTTAATTAATTATCCATATTTTAACATTGATTATATATTTAAAAGAAAAAACAAAATTAAAAGTATTTGTAATTACTATAATATAAAATATATATTCCACAATATTACTAAAATTTATATATGTATTATAGAAATGAAAATAAATTATATTTGAGAATATATAATTTTGATAGAAAATTATATATATATATATATATATATATATATATATATATATATATATTCTAAAATATAATTTAACATTTTGAATTCCGAAAGGTTTTCTCTAATAACAAATTAAAAAACATAATATTCAAAAAAATATTTTAAGATTCGAGTCTCGGGTTGTATTTCGCTCGAGCGATTACACTCTCGCTCGAGCGAAAAACCATCCTGATCGATCATAACATTGATTTTATCGATCATAATTGGAGGATATCATAGCGGTTCCTCATGAATCGCTATTTAAAGTATATATTAGATAGCGGTTATGGTTTAACCGCTATTACAAGTTATATTTCGCTTGAGCGACATTAAACTCGCTCGAGCGAAGACACTCGCACATTATTTTCATCCTCGGGTTGTTTTTCGCTTGAGCGAACTGATCTCGCTCGAGCGACTAGCAAAGTATGATCTCGCTCGATTTATTTTAATCGATTAAAACACGTTTTAATCGATTAAAACCACTTTGGAAGTCAGGATGATCGATCAGAATGTAATTATGACCGATCGAAGTTGGTTATGATCGATCGAATTGAATTATGACCGATCAGACTTATTTCAATCGATTAAAACAAATTTCAATCGATTAAAATGACTTGAAAATTTTTGTACAGAGTTTCAATCGATTAAAACGAATTTCAATCGATTAAAATGACTTAGAAAAAATTCTGTGCATGTTTTTAATCGATTAAAACTTCTTTGTATCAGCTTAAAATAACTTGAAAAGTGTTATAAGAAAGTTTTAAACTGAATCAATCGATTAAATCGCGAATCAATCGATTAAATCACTCTTAGAAAATGTTTGTAAAAAGTTTTAACTGATAAAAACTTGGTCGTATCGACTAAAACAATTTCGTTAAAGAACAAGAACGCATTAATGGGTTGAAAGGACTTTTAACAGATTATAACGGCTATTTCAACAGATTAAAACAAACTTTGAACAGATTAATTAATGCAGTTTTTTCTGAAAACTCTTTTATAAACAGAATTGCTTGGAACTTTTATCATATCAGTTTTTAAAAAAACAAAGCAATCAATTTATTGGGTGAACCAGTATAACAATTGCTTGGAACCCAGCTGGAATTTGGCTGGAGACTTGACGTAGCCCTGGTATTGGGTGAACCAGTATAACATTGATTATATATTTAAAAGAAAAAACAAAATTAAAAGTGTTTGTAATTGGAAACAAATTTAAAAAATTAACTTTTTTTTAGATAGTTATTAAAAATTATATAAATAAACAATTACAATATAATTTTCTACTTTGAGAATTAATAATATAATTAAACATCAAAATTGAGAATACTCTTATACATTTTGAACTCTTTTGGATAAATTTTGTTTCCCTAATTTTTGATAAAGTTAATTTTAATATTTAAATTTATTAGAGGTTAAGGTTTAACCTCTATTATAAGCTCCCTTTAAGAATGGTTCTTAAAGTGTTACATCAACTCCCTGCTTCTTCTCAATTCTGATTGAATCAGTGCGAGTCGGATTAAAGAAAGTAGAGTCGGATGTTATTGCCTTTGCCCCCACGCCGACTTGCTCTCTAATCCCACTCGCGATTGGATTGAACTGAAAAAGTGGAGCTTAGGTAGGCTACAACAACTCTCAAAGCGTGAGCTCATAAGCCGTTTTTCGCTCGAGCGACTATATCTCGCTCGAGCGAAATACGATCCTGATCGATCATAAGTTGAAATGATCGATCATAATTGGAGGATATAATAGCGGTTCCTCTGTAACCGCTATCTAAAGTGCATATTAGATAGCGGTTCCAGTGGAACCGCTATCATATACAATCATATTTTAATTTCTTGAGTCTCGGGTTGTGTTTCGCTTGAGCGACTATATCTCGCTCGAGCGAAATATGATTCTGATCGATTAGATTTACGAAATGATCGATCATAATTGGAGGATCTAATAGCGGTTCCCTGTAACCGCTATCTAAAGTGATATATAATAGCTGTTAAGATTTAACCGCTATTAGAAGTGATATATAATAGCGGTTATGTTTTAACCGCTATTAGAAGTTATATATAATAGCGGTTATGTTTTAACCGCTATTAGATGTGTTATTATAATAGCGGTTAAGATTTAACCGCTATCATATATTGCAGGGTAACTGCGACTTTTCATTACTTTCATCTCTTTTCTTCGCACCTCAGCGAAGAAACTCTCTCTCTCATCTCCCCTTTTTCCTCGCCTGCATTTCATCGCAAATCAGTTCAACCAAACGTGTGTGAATGTCGTGTTTCTGTCTTCGTGAATAGTATTTCGTCGCAAATCAGTTCAAACAAACAGAGCATTAATGTTAAAGTGGTTTTGAAAAGTAAATTTGACTTGCATTCTTATGGATTCTTTAGTAGTGATAGTTTGGTTTTATTTTTAGTTACCTACAAATTCTTTATAAGCAGTATAATTCATTCAATATTTTTAATTCAATTTTCAAATAATACTTTCCTAATTCTTATTGGTTTAATCCACACTAAACTTAATCATACATATACACTAATTATTTTTAAATACTTATTCAACATTTTATCTCTGATCTTATTTCATCTTAATAATTATAAGTGAGAGTCGATAAATAAATTTGAACACTTAAATAATATTCACATAAAATTTGCACTTGATAGTTTTAAGTGAGATTTGATTATAAGATTTCGCTCTAACCTTTATTTATTTTAATGAAATAAGATTAAAACACAATTAAAATATAAAAATTAGTATTAAAACAAATTTAATATCAAAACAAATAAAAAAAATCATTTTTCATAATTTTAATTTTCTTCTTTAAATTTGTCACACTCATGCTATTTTTTTTTTGTAAAGTAATATTTGAAATAAACATGGTGCTTAAAGTTTACGTTGAAAAATATATTTTGACAATCATTTTTCTATAAGCAACTCTCCAATAACTGCATTTAATAATATAATATTAATTTTCAATTATTTTATTTTAATTAATTTTTTATAAATATAATAATAATAAATTGAGTTGTCTATCTATCTACTTAAATAAAACATCACTTTTCATAAATAAGCTGGGGGAAACAAACACCAGTACTCCTATACTTGCCCTCTCATGCTCACACTCACACCTGCACTATCTACATTAATTGCCCTCTCGTGCATGCTCATTAAAATATATTTTTATGTTAACCTACATACAAAATGTGTTATTTATATTAATTATAAATAGAAAAGAAAAATGTGTATGAACTTGCTTATATGTTTAATTATATCATAACTTCAAAATATAAGATATTCTATTAATTATTTTAATATCATTAATTACATTCTAGTGGTTTAAGTTATATATATATATATATATATATATATATATATATATATATATATATATATATATATATAATGTTTTTCTTATAGGAATAAGAAACGATAGGAATAAGAAACGGAAAACGGAAAATGAAAAATGGAAAAGGGAAGCTATTTTTAATAATGATAGGAAAACATTAAGAAGTTTAGACATAAAAAAAACTTACAAATATTGTAGAAAGAAAACATGTTAAAGACTGAAAATTTCATTTCATAAAATTTTTACAAACACTTCAACCTTACAACTTAAAATTCTGGCTTTTGTTTTTCAAGTAAGACTTATTTATAGATACATTTCGAATCTCCTAGATTCTATACATTTACTTTAATAATCCTTCATTATTTCTTATAGCCTTATCTTTCTTCTCACATCTTTTTGAAAAATATTCATCCGTATCTCGATCTTTTTTTTTTATCTTCTTTTTCTTTTCTTGTCACATCTTCTTTTTTAAAAATCTCCGTCTTTATCTCCATCTTTTTGTCATATCTTCTTTTTCTTTTTTTGTCATCTTTTTTTTTTCTTATCACATCTTTTTGAAAAATCTTCGACCAAATCTTATCTTCTATTTTTATTAGTCGAACATATCAAATGTATTATTGTAACAGTTTTCTTCTTCTGAGTTAGTTTTTGATGTTGTAGACTTTTCTTTAATTATTTGTTTAAAATTCTTCATACTGGTTGTGGTTGTTAGTTCTTCCATTAATCTTTGTTTTTCTACCAAAAATGAAGATTCTTGGGTTAATGTTGAGCTTGATTCTTCTCTTTTTTGTCGATGATTATCTTGTCATCTATCAATATTATTCTTGGTTATTATCTCTGTGTTGAATTTAGGTCACCACTTGATCTTGAATTTTCTTGATAAAAATTTGATATCAACATTTTCATATGTTGATTCTACCACATAATCCTAGGCTAAAATCTAGGTTATGGATTGAGTGGCTACAAAAGATATTAGTCTATATCCTGAATCAAATGAAGTTTTTTCTCTAAAATAAGAATAAACATCAGTAACTTGATTTGAAAATATTGTAGGTAATGGTCTAAAATCGGAGAACCACTTAATAAACCATTTGGGAAACTTTAATGAGATCCTCTTTTAAACCAAATAAACCAGGAGTGAGTTCCTGGATATACTAGTAAGGCTTTTGTCCATGCTTCTATATAGTCATAATAATTGTAGGACTGTGGTGTAAAGGTTCTGGAAAAGTTGTTTGCACAGTGTATAGGTTGA